GTGCTGGGGTAGCCAGGAGTTGACACTTCTAGGTATGAAAATTCACCCACGAAATTGTTGAGATCTATGCTCAAATATGAACATAGTAGCTCATTGACCATGATATACGGCAAGAGCACAGTCAGGTACAGGAGAGTTTGTACAGTGGGATCCCCAACAACAGGTAGCAAGCCTGAGCCTTTTAGGGCTTCCAACCACTACCCTTCCTATCCCCAAGTCCTCCCTCAAGGCCTTCCCATCGTATTCCCAGAGTCCATAGTCTCTGATTCCCTATTTTGCACAAAATACCATTTTTGAACGAGTAATGTATGAGTTTCTAAGTGGTTTTTTCTTAGAAAAGTCCTATATTTCTGAGTTTCTAAGTGATTTTTTCTTAGAAAAGTCCTATATTTCTAAATTCTTAAATTTGTTTGAGAATGATTAAAAAAAAATTTCTAAGACTGAATATTTTTCAAAATTTCGACAGAGTTTCCCCTGTAATACGGATTTTCTAAAATTTTCCAAATATCTGTTGCAATCAGAAAACTTTCCAATACAGTTTATAAGAGTTCTCAATCCATCATTCAATCATTTCAATTTATTTTTATTAAACTTTCCTATGAAAAACCACCATGCACATAAATGCTCACTCAAAGACGACTCATATCATATAACACAATTTATGTCTTAATGAAGTATCAAACATATATTTCCATCACCAAACACATAAGCAAACCATTATCAAAATTAAGCATATAAGGAAATCACAATCATTAATCATAACAAAATTTAGACAATTTCAACAAATAAGGTTAAATAAGTTTATGATGTAACCCTTACTACATAGCCCACCATTTACCTGTTACGTCCACGTTTGTTCTCTCTAACGCTTGAAGTTGATTTTCGATGAAATCTATACACGTAATGAAACGCTAGTTAGAACTTTATAGTTCTCTGATTTTATCTTGTGGGAATTTTAAACTCACTTTGTTTTGTTAATCCATTTTTTTGTAATATGTTAAGCTCACATTTACCCCACACTTAACTTAAAAAAATCATCCTAGTTGGTACACACTTAGAGTAGGAAGAATCCTAATGGCGAGCATGAACAAGGTTCAGTACTTTGGAATTTTCTAGAGTTATATAGACTGTTTTGGCATGAGGTCAAAGCCAAAATTTCAATAACGTAATTATATACAATATTGATGTAGAGGTCAAAGTCTAATTCGAAATAGATTGTGCAATAAAGTTGATCAAAGTCATGATAGGGAAATTTTCGAGCAGATTGTACAAGGTTCAATGTTTTTGCCATAACTCAAGATATACTTAATATTTTAACATGAGACCAGTTTCTAAATTTCAAGGGTTTATTTATCTACAACTTTTATGAAGGAATTAAGTTCAAATACCCTATATAATAGTGCCAGTTTTCAGGTTACAGTAGCTGTTTCTGACAGAGATCAACTACACTAAGACTCTGAACATACCTTAGTAATCTGGCCATATCTCAAGCTACACATAAGATATTGACATGAAACCAATTTCTAAATTTCAAGTATATAATTTCCTACAACTTTTATGAAGGAGTCAATTCCTAATTTTACACTCATAAGTCTCATTAAACCAAAATCCGTGACTGTTAGAACAGGACAACCTCCTAAGGTGACAGCTAGAACACCTATTAATAAAATAGACATAACTTAAGTTACAAATATCCGTTTGAGGTGAAACCAGTGGCTAAATTTCAAGTATTAAAAGGGCTAAAACTTTCATGAAGACATAAACTCCTAATTCAGTCCATACAAATCCAAGAATTTAGTGAACAGTAACCTACGAATTTGGGTTCTTAGGTTTTTAGCTCAACCACTTCTAATCCTCCATTTCAAGCATGATTCTAGTATCCTAGATGTAAAACCACAACAATAAAAGCAAGATAACACCCTTCCCATTCCTATTCAAGTTCATCCAAGTAAGAAGAGAAAATTAAATAACACTATTTTAAAAAAAATAAAATCATACAAGTGTAGAGGAGGATATGGGTAACAAATTTACCTCTTGAAGCTTCTCAAAAAAATCAAATTTTGGCCCTCAAAATCAAGCTTGAAGGTGAGTGTATTTGAGAGAGAAATGTAAAAAAATCTTAACAAGCTTGTAGAAGAAGATGCATTCTCTCTCTCAATCACTTTTTAAAAGTAAAAATTTAATTACTTTATCTTCTTCTTCTTTTTTTACTTAAAAAATTTCACTTTTGCAAATGTATATTTCTTTTTCAGTTTAACAGGTAGAGAAAATTTTTAAAAAAATAGTAAAATATTTAGAATAATACTGGGATAGTCACTAAAATTTTAATTCATTCAAATTGCTCTCGGATCAGTTCGTTTCTTGTCTGCTTATTAGACACTGAAAAATAAAATTTTAAAATTTATCAAATTTCATTGTAAAAATTTACTTTCTAAGATCTTTCTAATATTGTTAGGCTCTCGTAAAATTTTAAAAATTTTATGACTTTGTTTGCTATAGAATTAGATTCAGTTTAAAAATTTATTTATTTTTGCTAAGATTCCCACAAAATAGGCCAATTTTAACTATTTCCTAAAAATTCCAGAAAAATTCTAGAAAATCACAAATTATCTAATGAATATAAAAATCTAAAGTCACATTAAATAATTCTTAATAATTTAATTTTTTAAAATTTTGACAAAGGTTCTATCAAAATTCAGCAGACCACAGGTATTGAGAATTAGGATGTTACATATGATCTTTGCAAATGATATAGAGTTGATTGAGGATTTGAAAAAAGAGGTTAATAGTAAACTTGAATTATGAAGGGAGACTTTAGAATATAAGGTTTTTTCTTAAGTAGAAGTAAGATAAAGTGTATACATTGTAAGTTTAGCAAAAAAAGAAGACAAGGATCATGCATTATTGGAGATGATATTATACCACAAGTTTTTAAATTCAAGTACTTGGGATCGATTATACGGAAGGATAAAAAATTAATGAAAATGTTACTCACAAAATACAAGTTTGATGGTTAAAGTAAAGAAAGACATTATAAGTTATTTATGACTGTAAGATACCTATCAAGATGAAAGAAGTGTTTTACCGTACTGCATTACAACTCGTTATCTTATATAATAGTGAACATTGGGCCTTAAAGAAACAATACAAGAAAAAAATAGGAGTATAACAAAAATGAAAATATTAAGGTGGATAAGAGGACATATGAAAAATGAAAGAATAAAAAATAATAGTATAAGAAAGAATATTAAAGTAACACTTATAATGAAAGAGATAACTGAAAATTGTCTAAGCTAGTTTGATCATATGCAAAGAAAACCTTTGAGATATCAATAAGAGTAGATTGCATTACTCTTATTACCGTAAAAAGTGATTAAGAGAGGGAAAAAAAAAATCTTAGACAAAGTTATTAAAAAATATATTTCGATTAAACTAAATTTTTAAAATTTTAGTTTTTGACCAAATTTAATTATATTATGTGATGTATGTAACTCACTTCACATAATATGATAAGAATTAATTGTTGTTTATTTTATGTGGCTAATTAAACATAGTCCAAATCTATCTCTATACTACGATTGGCTTAGTCCTAAAATTAGTGACTGCCAACGCTGTACCAGTGGATAAAAGTATTGGTGGTAGTAATAATATTTTTAGACCCAAAACATTTATAAAATCCCAATATTTTCTAAGACCAAAGATTAAGCCCAATTTAACTGAGATCTAGAATTTTTTGTGTACTTGAATTTCTATCCCCTTTTTTAACCAAATTATGACTCACTGTTAAGAAGCGTAAGCGAAAATAGTTGACATTGATTGAGAGATAGGTCGAATTAAGATTTCTACATGGAAAGAAAAAGTATAGTATGTAATAAAAATAACAATATATCATCTATGTGAAGAATATTACTTGTACAAGAACTTTTACATTATTTTATTCATCGTTCCTACACTCATTCATTTGGAATACTTTAGGATTCATGTTTAGAATTCCTTCACCTTTGCGCATATATATTGGTTCATACGAGCTCTATTGAGAAAAGGCATCCTTACCCAATCAATTTATAAACCTCCTTTGTTCCTTATAATAATTAGCATGTAAATTTTACTTAATACTACCTATATCCCTATATATCTAGTCAGAGAGAAGATGAAATATATGTTTATTGAAGTACAATAAATAAAATATTTACACTAATTAAGTAGCTTAAGATCAAAGAGAGATCAACTGATAATTAAAACAATGATTGAATTATTTGATTTGCATAATTTTTCTCTCTAAACAGATAATAATAATAATAATAATAATCATCATCATCATCATCCTCATCATCTACAGTAAAATGATTTTTAGTGTCACTCATGAAACGAACTTTCCTCCTATTTCTCATTTGTCTAGTTTTATACCGATTCATAAAAAGATGAAATACTATCAAATACATTGTTTTTCATACTTACTATTATTGAATAAACTCTCATTAGACTTTCTAAATAATATAAATCTTTCAATAATTATATAAATTTTACTTAATACTACCAAAGTTCGTATTTATCTATCAAAAAAGATAATATAAAATTTGTTCAAATTTATGTATCCATATAAAAATTTAAGACAACATTAATTTTTAATTTTTTACTAATATCCTTTCATTCATATAAATATTCTAATTAAATGAACTATATGGACTAATTAAACCGTCCAAAGATCAAAGAGAAGTCTACTAATATCGAGTAAATGATGAAGTTTATTAAATAATACAAACAAAATAAATTTTTTTAATGTGTATAGGTTTTTTTCTCCAGAAAAACAAATAAGAAAAGTACTAATAAAGAATATGTTAAAAAGATTGAGTTTAAGAAAAGCATATTATAAACATTTATAAATATGCCATTTACCTTCGCTTTCTGGACTACAGTCAAAGCCCAGAGGATTTTGCAGCTACCCACACTAAACTTTGCTAATGAAGCGTCTTGCGGGAAAATAAGGCCCAAGAATTTAAAAATAAGGGGACTAGTTTGCTAAGAATTTACGGAATCTAACATGGATCGGTATTCAGAACAATTACATTACAACAAAACGTGCAGGTGCAGTTTTCAGTGAGTGATACTAACTGCACACGTAAAGTTATACAATTGACTAGTAAAGAGCTGAATTAAAAGGGTTTAAAATTGTTATTTACAAGAGAGAGAATGTATTAGCATGAGCCACCAGAATCTAAAAATTATATTTAGAGCCAACTACTAGTATGCTATACCCCTTCAAAAGCCTAATCTCAGATGCCACCTGAAAGAATGCTGCTAAAGTTTCATGGCAGACCGCTGAACAATGTCATATAGAGACAGAAGAATTTCAGCACCAATCAATGCAATAATGAGCCACTCTAGGAAATCAGATTTCCTATTTTGAAGAATTTCTTGTAGAAAACGGATGTTGTGCTGCAAAATTGAAAGGGTAAAAAGTTGAAATGCAAAACTACAAATAAAAAAGAAAAACGTCAACGGGAATTTCAGAGAGAGAATCTAGAGATAAATTTAATGTTGCGAAGATAGCAGTTACACCTCCACAAATTTCAACTTGAAATCGAGACTTGCAAATCTCTGAGTTAGTTCAAATTCATCCCTCAGATACTCCCATATCTGAGCATATTTGGCATCTTTCCAAGCAATATCTGATCTGCAATAATAACCGTTCAAATTTTCTCAGTTAAATAAGACATACAGAAAGTGATGACTATAACATCTGAAATCTTACTATTGTCATGTACAATTTTACACACACATGCAGAGAGAAAGAGAGAGTACATGCAAGTTTACCTTAGAAAACAAGCATTTTAATTTACTTTTGCAATTTCTATTTAGGATAATATATGAAAATTTTAAAAACAATGAATCCCCAAAATTTCTGCACGCTAATATACCATATACCACATTTAAACAGTCAAACAGTAATATGCTTAGCACCATGGACAAATCCAATTTACCAAAAATACCATAGTCTACACGACAAACATCTAGCAGCATGAAAACAAAGAAATAAATAACTACTAGTCTCAAAATCAACAAGACACGTGAGCATCAGGACAGAAAGCTTTGCTAGGTCTTAGCTTTTAACAAATGAATACACACGGTCACCTTTAAATACAGAGACTTCGTTTTGTAACATATAACCTCCTGAGGCTTGGGTGAGAGTGATAATGTAAGTTGCTGTTAGATTTACAACCCAAGGTCAAACGCAGCCTTCAGTCTTGAGGCTTATATGATCTTTTTAATGTTTGCTTTCCCATTAGCTATGGTGCGTGTTTAAAAAGATGATATGAAGCCACTGGCCTTCTTAAGGAGTTGATGCTGCTATACCCTCTCCATTCACAATATGAGATGCATGCGAAGGTAACACCTTTGGAATTTACTTTCATTGAGGGGATAGTGATGAGGAGGTAGTGACAGTGGTGATTGAGTTTTCTTCTCAAAATTCACTATTGAAGATTGAGAATTTTGATAGTAATGCAAATGGAGGGGGTTAACGGACCTGACTATGGCAGATGTTGTCTTGGTGTTAATGATGCTGAAACTGAAGAAAGCAGCAAACATATGTGCCATATGGGTTTAATTTAAACAGATCCTCGTGAACAATCAATCCCAACATTCAAATAGGTGCTGAACCTCCTGAGGCTTAAATCTTCTAATTGGGAGTCTGGTTTTGAGCTGCATGCCCATCCATTATATATAGCACTTTAATTCTTTTCTCTTGAACAAAAGCAATCCTTTCACATTAACACTAACTCTCTTCTTTAAATCCTTGCATTATCAATATTCTTAACAAGCTTGGTGAATATAATTAATATGGTCCAGCTAGAGGGGGAGTGTAAGGATATATATGGGAGTATTTTTCTTATTTCCTTTTTATTTACATCAATTGCTGCACTAATTACTAATGTACTTTACCTTGTAATACCACATTACTCGATAATATAAAAAAGATGTCAGAGAACAGCATAATTCATTGACTCATTCAAACTAGTTAGGGTTTGTGTATAATTATATAATCCTTCCTCTCTCAACAGTTCACTCCAGCTTTTGTAGCAAGAGACTTGCTGCAATTTTGTACATATAATGACTAAGCATGAATAACATTGCAACAACTGTAAGCAGCCACAGGCATTTAATGACTAGGCACTAGGGGATGACAAGAATATGTTTTGAGCATAGTTGTCAATTGCATGTGATTGCGGCAGTGCATGGTGGAGCAGCCTTTGGCCACCACAGTTCTGGCATAGCGGAGTGTTTTTGCTGTCGTGGCCATCGCAGCTGTATTTGCAGCCCAAAATGTGACCTTTGGCAGTGCAATAGCACCATGACAGGGAAAGATACCATCTTTCCTTTTATACCCTCAAAACAAATCAATTTTTTTGGGTTTTTTAAGGGTAAAATAGTCTTCTCAATTTTTATACCTAACCTCATTTTTCCCCACGTTTTTCTTCTTCCTTTCTCTGTTCAAGACCCCCTCCTCTCATGTCTATTGCTGTTCTGCTTTGCAACTGGAGACACACGATGAAACCCCACTTTTTCTTCTCTTTTTTGTCCGCGGCTACCTCCTCTCATCTCTGTCTATGTTCTGCTTTGCAACAATCTCCAATCCAGGTAGAGTCACTCATCTTTAATGACTTCTTTGGCAAAATCCACTTCCTTTCTTCTCTCTATTCTATGATTCTACAGTATTGCCTCTGTTATGTTCTCCTGGAAAATCCCGCTTTCTTTCTTCTATTTATGTCTTTTGTTGTATAATTATTCATATCCTATTAGTTAATACTTATTGAGCATTATATACATAATTATCTGCATGTGTATGTATTTTAGATCCATATAAAAAATTGTAAATTAGCGTTTTGAGGATTGTCCACTTCGTGCTTCTATTCGAGATTGACAACTAAATGTGGGAAGTTTAAGATTTTGTTGTTGTATTCTAATGTACATTTAGGGCATACAGCTTTCTATTTTGTTAAAACAAGGGACAATTAGAGACGAGATTTTAAAAACATTAAGAAGCTCATGTTACTTGCACATGTACCTACACAAATTAAAACTAACAGCAACCTAATGTTTTCATTCGCAAACAAAAATTGGGGTAGGACTGGGAAGATTTTATGTTTTATAAACTTAAGGGGGTAATCTATAGTTCACCCTTAATTTTTACATTTGGAAAAGTTGAACCAACAAAAGTCTACCCTAATAATCAAAAACTAGTATCACAAGTACATTCTTCCTTTCCAACATCAAACAACAAGAATTAGCCTACACAATATGTTACCACAAACAGATTATTACCTCTCAAATAGTCCAAGCTTCAGAATCACATCAGCAAGATTTGAATTTGCCTTGCCCACCAGCTGGAAAAGTTTCTTCCTTTGCATTTTGAATTTTCCAGTTGCTTCCATCTCTCGGTTTATGTCTGTAAATTCTGCCACCATTCCATCAACCTAGAATGAAAGTGGAAGGGGGCCATTGGAGCCTTAGAGGAATATTGCTAGTATAAGATATAACAAAACATTAAAAAATTTAAATCATATGTAGAACATACCTGGCGACCATAGTAATCAAGAGCAATACTTTGACCTAGGACGCTACCAATAGTTCGAATTCCATCAATGTTCAAATATTGTAACATTATGTAATCTAGTCCACCTTGCATCCATGTGTTTAAAGCTGGTTTTTCTCTAACTTCATACTCTAAAATCTCAAAACAAATCGAAAATCAAATTGTAAAAAAGTATGTTAACCTAGAGACCAAGGAAACTTTATGTAAAAGAAAAATATAACCAAAATAAGAGGGCTAAGGCATATCTAAAAAACCAATACTTTCAAAGACCCAAAAATATACAGGTAAGAATTTTGATTGTCACGTTTACAAAAAAAGAAAATTACTGCCGGTTCCCTCCAGCACTTAGATCACAAATTCCAAGTTACATCAAAACGTAAAATATGGGCTCTAGGTCAACAAGCTATTGTGACACATGCCTGGAATGTCCAGAAAAAGGGACCAATTCTAAGGCAAATGTATGGGTTCAGCACCACAGTCCAAGAAAACAGAGCAAACAAGTCAAACGAAGTTTCCAAAACAAATCTATTAAAATGTCTGTTAATGTAGCCCCATTGAAAAAGTCATGTGCTTTGCACCAAATAGATACCAAACACTTGATTTTAGCGGAAATCAAGTGATGTGTCAAAGAAAGTAGAAACCTCAATAAAAAATTACAAGAGTTCTGCTCCAACCAAAACACTGAATTATAGATAGATTGCATGTACCTAAAAACTTTAGGACATTATTTCTACTAAAACTGAAGCTAATGATCATGATTTCATCCAAGGACCTAGGACAGACACAGCATTCACTGAAAATGTTGAATAAGGAGTTCCATGAATAAATTGAAGCAAAACAATGTAAGAACAGGTGAAATCGAGCAAGTACAACACATTACATATGTATCATAGGAAAGAGCCATGCACAGCCTATATCACTGCACCATGTCATTGGTAAGTAGGAATTCTATTAAGTACTGTGTTCCAAATAAAAGACTTGACCTTAGAGGGAGCTTTGAATTTCCACTAGGGTTTGTAAATAAGAAAATTATATCTGCTTAAGGAATGAGTGTGGAATTGAAAACAAGATTTACTCAAAAACACCTGAGAAGGATCAAGGGACCAAAACCAAATCTTTTTATTCGGGTGACGTGACAGATAAAAATATGGGAGACCCCAAAAGGACTCCATATAAATTACAAAACGTGGAAATTCCATGAAAAAGAGAAGCTTGGACACTCAAAAATATAGATCGGTGAATTATGTACAGGAGAAAGACAATAAAGGCAAGGAAAGGCAGAACTAGATGGAAAATTTTATTTGAGTTTGTTAAAAAGAGTCCTTCATGTTTCACATTATCATCAATCTCAACCTCTCTAAAATTTTCATCCTTTTTGAATTATCATGTCGCCAAAGACATTTCTGTTTCCAACCTTGAACATTGGCATTTTCCCAAACATCTCTTATAAAATGGACAAAAGAACCATTTTTAAGCCACGCATTCTCAAATCTGAAAGGAGTTGGGGCCCAATTGGTCTTACTACATTCCAAGATAACCAGAAAATGATGAGAAACAAAAATAAACCTCCTGAACTAGATCAGGAAAAGGGTCTGCTCAGGCATGAAGGAAAAGAAACCTGTCCAGACAAGACAAAAACTGAAACATGTTTCTTAGCTCTAACACAAAACTGACACACAAAATCCCAGAGTTGAAACAGTTGCCACACAGCCATGGACACTTAGCTTATACTTTGAGAAACACACAAATAAGGGGTAAAAGACTTGACCTTCATGGGAGCTTTGAACTGCCCAAAGAATTTATCAACATGGAAACTGGAAAGTAACTCTACTCAATGAATGACTTAGAAATGCCAAAAGGATTAGCACAATTCAAAAATCCTTTTCAACTCAATGTCTATATTTACCATTCTTTATACTAGAGCATTTGTCCATCAACAACTACCCACAGCAGATTCATAAGCACAAAAACGCAGCTTCTAACTGACAACATTTATACACACACCATAAATATTCAATAGGAAAACTCTACTCCACTAGCAGCATCTACACACATACAGAGACTGTAAAGGTTGATTTAGAACAAACATGAAAATAAAGTGTACACTGCAGATGTACTCATATGTCTCCAATGATCAGTGTAAAAAATATAGTAGCAAAGCTCAGCCCAACCAACTGAAGCTCAATCAACAATGAGGGTATGTAATCTGCTGCTTATAATATCAACAAAACTATTCCATGTTTGTTAAATAAATTCCTTTACATCATATTGTACTAACACCACTTCAGTCCTTCCAGATCCACAAATTTTTGTTTTAAAATTTTGGAAATCCATTTAAAATAATATCCTTGAGAAATAAGTAGTATAGTTACGAACATTATATGCTGTTCGCAAGATTTGATGAATGAAAAACTATGCATTATAGTTTAAAACTCCAAATATAAATTGGATAAAATAACTCACCATCCTTTCTCATTTCAGGAAGCAAACCAGATGCATGCTCCTTAACAATTTTCAGATAGCCATCAACCTCAGGCTCAGGGACATTAAACAACACAATGGAACCATACTGAAAAACCACCATGTAACAGCCATTGCTTCCACTCAAGAAAGAAGTCCCTGGAACCTAAAACAAAAAATAGTTTGCAGTTACTATCACTTATCTGATGACATCACGTTTATAAAACAGTTAAGAAGGTACAGGATAAACTTAATCATCTAGTATTCACAAACGTCATGGCAATATGTAAGAACAAAGATGATTGCCCCTACTTCAACTTTTACCCTTAACCTCATTCTAAAAGGATTCTATCTATATCTATTTATATACGATAGACATGGGTTTGGTCTTATGATGTTTTGACACGAATAACTTTAACCATTAAAGACAATAAAAAAGAAACACTAGCCATCCAATAGTTATTTAAGGTTGCAAAACTTAATCAACTTCCTTTAATAACAACACCCAAACGTTATCCTACCAAGGGAAGTCAATTACATGGATCACATGACACTATTGAGCGTGGTTGAAATCCAAATTTTCTAAGATATTATTTATTACAAGATCTCTTTTAACAATTTTCTCATAAGTTCTTTCGAGTCTCCAATGCCTTTTCACCAGACTATAAGTTATATCATTTATTCTCCTCACTAGTGCTTTCAACAGCCTTATTTGCACGTGTTTAAATGACCTTAATCAATTTTATATCATCTATTCTTTTTATAAGTGTTATTTCAATATTCTCTCATATATAGTAGTCATTTTTTATTATATCCTTTTTTGTATGATCATTTATTCATCTCAACATTCTAATTTCTACAACTTTCACCTTTTTCTATGTTGTCCCCTTTAAAGCCTAGCATTCACTACCACAAATGATAGTTAGTCATATAGCAGTACAACAAAACTTTCCTTTCACCTTGATAAATACTTTACAATCACAAATAACTCTATAAGGCTTTCTTCACTTTAACTACTCAATATGTATTTTATGAGTAACATCTTCATTAATTTTTCTATTACTTTACAATCACAAATAACTCTCTCTTTCTTCACTTTAACCACCCAACATGTATTTTATGAGTAACATTCTCATTAATTTTTTATTATTTTTGTAGAATAACTTCCAAAACTCAAGTTTAGAGGGTTAACATCCTTTAACTCTTCAGCTAAAACTATATCATTCACAAAAAGATTGCATTTAGGAATAACTTTTATATGTCACTTATAAATACGTTTGACTAAATTAAACAAGTAAAAACTCAAGGTTGAGCATTGATTCAAACTTATCTTTGTAAAAAAAAAGTCCTTAGATATGCTTCTAGGAATTCTCACACTAGTAATTACTTTGACATACATGTCTTGTATAATTCGGATGCATGTCACACGAGCTTTTTTCCTTTAAGTCTTCAATAATACTTTTCTTGGCACACGATCATATTTTTTTCAAGTCAATAAAAACCACATCCTTTACTTTGCATTAATATTTTTTCATATTCTCTACAATATCAGTTTCTCTTCTCTTATTTTATACTCAATCACCTTTTCTTCCATAACTTGATAAAGTGCCTCATAAATTATATCACTTTATAATTTACACAATTTTGAATATCGTCCTTATTCTTGTATATAGAGATCAAACTGTTCTTCCTCCACTCATCTAACATATCTCAATTTTCTTATACATATCTGAACTTCAATACAAATACCATCAAAGTTGACAGTTTTATCATTATTCATCAGTTTAAGAGTTTATTTTTTTTACTTTTTTAACTCAAATTCCAGAATAATATGCTAATTTTAGTTCACCCACTTGAGCTTCAAATCTTTTTGTATTACTATTTGCTCCTTGCCTATCATTAAAAAACTTATAGAAATAATTTTTCCATATATCTTTGATATAACCAAAAAAATTTCTTCTTCGTCAAGGACCCTTGCTCATTTAACCCTACATTCAGATGCCAATTCAACAATTCTAGGTCATTTGACACTGTACTTGAGTCATATAGTGCATTAGTTCCACATAACAATCTAATCCTAGCCCAATATTGTGATAAGTAATCATGTATAGGTTTCGACAAGTTCTACATTGGCTACCAAAGCCCAACGCAACCCTCCTTTAATCAACTTTTTTCCCTCCAAATAAAATTTAAACAAAATATGTACATTGATATGTACTTATGTGCGTCAACTACTATGAACTATGTTCTCAAAATCCCCACACATTTCTTAATGCAACACTAAGGATACAAACTATACAGAGACAAAATGGCAATATTAAATATTATTCCCTACTGTACAAAATATGCAGTGCACTACCTAGATATCATATTCCCAATAATGAAAATTATAAAACACAAGTTAATAGAGAAAAAGGACACAAGCATAGCACAAAGAGACATACCCTGGAATCACGAATATCGCCAAACTTGAGAACTACATAATTAGTCATCCGTGACGATGGTGGGACAAAGTTTGGTTTGTTCTGTTCCACCAAGCTTTTTAAATCAACACTACATCCAAAGAAATGAAAGGGAATAATAAATCAATATAAATATATATAATAAACAGTAAGCCATCAGGTATTTAGCAACACTTAGTTATCAGATTTTGAAAATTCTGCATTATTGCTAAGGTCTAACACTTCTTGAATTTCCCAAAGTAACTGAAGAAGACATTCTTTGTTGTCTGCTTCTCACAAAATAAAAAGAAAAAAATAATTGCTTTCTGATGACTACAGTATTAGAATATCATAATCAAGATGACACACCTTTTGTTTGGTCAACAACGCTAATATCCAGAGGAGTTATTTAACTACAAACATAGTTCAGTGAGAATAATCAACGAGCGCTGTTTTAGAGAACTGAGGGCACATTTTCCAATTTTAAAATTAGTGCCAAATTTTAATTCAGCAATGCAGCAACTTGTAGTTACTGCATATTGTACAATTCATAGCTATATTTGTGAATAAGGATGGTGTGGCCCATTATTCTAGTCTTCAGTGGTAGTCGGTTGAATGAAACTGATGCAGCCAGCTATTTAATCCTTGGCACTAATATTTTTGACTCATGAAAGGAGTCTTGCCAACCAGTGGTATCATAGGCTCGCGATATGATATGAGGAGTACTACACAGCTATCACCATTCACCAAATTATGTATGAAAATGTACATGATGAATACAAAGAAAATATGTGATAATGTATCAGAAAGTAACATGAATTCAGCATACAGATAATTTGTCCTGGTTTAACATCAAAATATCAGTTCAGTATTCCATTTATATACACAGTTTTCCATTCTTTTCTGTGTCGATTGTTTCTTTCAATTCAATATGTTCCAAACAGTTATTATGTTTTCTAAAATCGTTTTCTCGTTTTTGTTGTTGTACTAAAAAATTGTTTCGCAGCTAACAATAATAACAACACCAATTTTTCTCGTCTCTGAATTTCGAATTAAAAAGAAAAGAAAAATAAAATGAAGCATGGGCAGAATTCCTTTACATTAGAAAGAAGAAGTGAAAGAGATAGATAATTAGAACCTTGTAGAGAAGAAGAAGGCTCTAACGGGAATAGAAGGCTTGGTATCTTGGTGGAGGGTTCCATCAGTGGCTTCGGCGTCGACCTCGGAGCAGGAAACGGTATCGTTCCAGTCGATGGTGGGAAGAGACGAAACGCAGCGCAAAACGAAGGAACCGAAATTGGATCGGAAATGGCGAGTTTTATTGGTTAGGGCAAGGGGAAGAAAAGAGTGAGAGTGAGAGTGCGAGTGTGAGTGAGTGATAATTGAGGTGAAAGTGGTGAACGAGGAACAACTAATGTTGGTGTTGGTGAGTGAAGAAGAAGAAGAAGAAGAAGAAGAGAAGAAGAAGGAACGAAGGCGTAAGGTTCTGAGGGTGAGGTGGGTGCTACTATCTAAGGTGCGCCACATCTTCATTTCGTTTCAGAATCACACGAAGAAAGGGTCGCTCACCTCATACGCTTCTACAACTACAATTAATCCTTTTTCGTTTGTTATTTTGGTGTTTTGAGGAGTAGGGCAATTGTTTCACAAGCTTTGCTTCTTCGTCAAGCACCAAAAGAAATCTCACATACATATATTATAAGAAAATGGTTTAAATATTTTTTATTTATTAAAAATAATTTATTTTTATTTTAGTAAAATTATTTGCCTTTATTTATTATATTTTTTATAATTTTAATTTTAATTCTAATTCTTCCTTTTGATGTACTTTATGAGAAAGTAATATATGGCAAAAAAATTGCATGTGTCAACGTTTGAGTTAGTCAATGATTAAAGGTGAAAATCAATAATTTTTAAAAATGTAGAACAAAAAAAATAAAATAATTTTAGAAAAAAATTAAAATTTTATATATTTTGTTCAATATCTATTTCATGTTGAACATAATATTAGTAATAAAGTAGTAAACAGATTTGTATAGGTATATTTATATTTATTTTATTAATTAATTTAATTTGAAAATGATTAAAAATTACAATTCAAATATAAAAATTATTATTTAACTATTGTTTATGTAAAAAAATTAAAAACATTTTATAATTTTTAAAATGAATTACATATAAAAATAAATAAATATGATAGTTAAACTTAATTTATGTTTTAAATGTTATAATTTATTTATCTATTCCTTTATTATGAAATAAAAATATTAAGTATGCAAATAAAATAATTATTATAAAATTTTAATAACAAATAATATTCATATATTTTGTAAATATATTATTATGATATTTAATAATATTTAAATAATTCAATTATTGTAACATTTAAATAGTTTACAAATTTTGAATATTTAATAACAAATAAAACAACAATATAAATTTATTTTCAATAAAATGATAATTCAAGAGCTTGTTCAATTTATATATAATTAATTTTAATAATTTTTAAATATAATTTAAAAATAATAATTATAAATCAATTATAATTTTAATTCCTATATCATATAAAATATTATAATTAATTTAAATAAATTTTTATTAAATACAATTTATGGTTACTAATGACACAAGTAAATAAACATTGTAAATCTTAATAATCATAAGTTTTATTATGAATATATAAAGAAATAAGTAGTCAATTTTATATATAAATTTAGAGTGTTTTCATATATTTTTTTTTAAGAGAAAATTTAATTGTTTAATTTAAAAATTCCTCTATTTATATGAGAGTATTTATTTCTTTAATTAATCATTTATTATTTTATTAAATAAATTTTGTATACATTTTAGAATTTTTGCATGTAAATTTTGCTTTGAACGAATGGGTAAAGGAATTTAAGATATTTTAAAAATGATATAGAATAATTAGATATATTAATTATAATTAAGACATTAAATGCAGGTGATGAATTATATTTGTTAAGAAGAAACATAATTAAAATATTGATTGATAATTAGTTATAAACCACGATAAATATCACAATTCATATACATCATAGTAATGTTAATATTTTTTTAGCACATTGATTAAAGAATAAAATAGAAAATTTTCTTAAAAAGTGCATTAAATAATAAGAGTAAACTCAAGATTAGTTCATGTAATTATGAGCGTCAAATTAGTTTATGAAATTTTTTCATAAACTTATTAGTCTTTAACTTTTATTATGAGATTTTGTTATAAATTTATTAGTCTTTAACTTTTTAAAATGTCGGACATTTTAGTCCAATCAATGATTTTTTATCTTGTTAATTTTTGGTATTAAATAACACATGGATACCAAAACTAAGTCATTTCTCTCTCTTTCACTCTAACAATGTCCTTTCCCTCCACATAAACACTAACAACAAAACCCGCCATCTCATCACCCCTTAACTTCCCCTCACGTAAGTCTTTCTGCTTCTTATCAATGGAGAGGGAAATGAAGGATGAAACGACATTGTTGAAGGAGGCAGTGGTGGAGGCAGTGGGTTCAGTGGCAATGAAAGTCGTAGGGTGGAGAGAAAGGATTAAACGATACTATTTTGGTCCCTTCACAACAAAAGTTAACAAAGTTATATCAGAAATCGTTAATTAGGTGATGGTGGACAATGGAAAGGGAAAGAGATAGCGAAACAACATCTTTAAAGGAGCTGGTAGACAGTAGTAAAGGAAATGAAGGATGAAACAATGTTGTTGAAGGAGGCAATGGTAGAAGGTGGTGGTTCCAGTTGGAAAACTTTCCAGCACAGAGTTTTCTAATAGAAGACAATAAGGAAATATTTTCACCTTGAACCTCTAATAGTTTGCTTCAGAGATAAAGCAAATACCACATTTTGTTATTTTATTATCAATATCAGTGGAAAAATGTTATTGCTGTTAACATAACAAACACAGATGCATACTCTTTTCAACATGTTCTATTATTAAGTAAAATTTGTGTGGGTCTCACTAAATAATTAATGAAACTCATTTAATAAAGGATAGAACTCATTATTAAATGTGACTCATATGAATTAATAAAATATTAAACACTTTAAGAGTGACTGCCACTTGACATCCTCTAGCTGTGAACAAGTAGTCTTCTTTTATTAGTCAATTCCAACTGCATTGGTGAGTAAAGTTGGATATCTTAAGGGTTAATATAGTAAGGGGACACGTCGTGAAGTAAAAGAAAAACTACTGTTAGGCTTTATGACTTGAAGATACTGATGCATCAGTTTTTACTTTTGACACTTCAAGATGCTCAATGATCTAAGTTTTACTAAGCAGTGCTTTTAACACATTGATTAAAGAATTAAAAGTAAAAAGTTTTTATTAAAAATTGTGTTAAATTATATTAAAAATTATAAGAGGAGATAATTAATTATATTTTCTTAAAAATATATTTTTAATTATTTAACTAGTATCTTAAAAACACTAACATTTATCTTATATTATGATAAGTTCTTTGGGTGAACTTGTGTTTTTGTCCTAAAAACACAAATTATCTTATATTATATTAAGTTCGTTGGATGAACTTGTCTTGTATTTATTTTGTCCTAAAATCACAATATTTGTGTTGCTATTTTTACTTATTGATTTAGAAAAAGATATATTCACTACAATAAATATCATAATTTAGTAACATAACATAACAATTCATCAATCAAAACATTTTAAGTTTTAAAGAATACAACAACAATCAAAACTTATTCTATTAGGTGAGATCATTTATATGAATTATATAATATTACTGAATTTAGTCAAAAATTAAATTTTAAAAATATTAATCAAAATATTTATTTTAATAATATCTGCTAAGATTCTTCTAAATTTCTCTTTATCTACTAAAAATCATGTAATTCACTTTTTTGTCTTCAAAAGTCTTCTCTATATATGATCAAACTACTTTAAACAGTTTTAAATCATCTTTTTCACTGTCATTTTTCATGTGATTATTCATCCATCTTAACATTGTCATTTTTGTCCTTTTCAATTTTTTCTTATATTGTTCCTTTAAGGCCCAATATTCACTATATATAGGATAGTTAGTTGTATGAGAGTACAATGAAACTTTCCTTTCAACTTAATAAATATTTTACAGTCACAAATAACTTATTATCTGTTCTACTTTAACTATCTAACTTGTATTATATGAGTAATATCTTTATTAATTTTCTCATTATTCTATTGAATTAATCTCTAAGTATTTGAACTTAGAGAGTTGCAATATAATATTATCTCTAATTTTAAGTTCCAATGCATAATCCTCATCTTATTTTTATTTTTTTTAAACCAAAACTTTTCTTTATGCATGCTTAATATTTTATCCAAATCTTTAGATTTTCTTTTTTTACTTTTGGTAAACGAATAAATCTTTCTTTCACCATACTATCTCAACATCTTGATAAAACTCTTTAAAAGCCTTAAAATGTGTTTCACTCACTACTTTTCTTGTTTCATTTCTTGCATTTCAATACTTTGCTCAATTTTTAGCATTGTTACAGGCATGCAAAGTTTTAAAACACATTATTTTATCTCTAATATTCTCTGGCACACTTTTCTTCTACCACCATGATTTCTTGCCTTTTGGTTCACAACCTCTAAATTTATCCAAAATTGTCTTGATAGCTTTCCTAACCTTTAGAGTTATTTTGTCCCAAACAATATTAGCACTACTTTGTACAATCTAGCTATCCTCCTCGACTAAATACATCTAAAAGTTCTATTATTTCCCACCTTTATAAATTGTCAACATCAAAGACCAAGATCCTATGTTGTGTAGTAAGGCTCTCTCTAAGAATCATTTTACAATCCTTGCAAATTCTTTTGTCTAGATTCCTTGTCAAAAGAAATTGATTTGCAACCTTGAGACCCACATTCTTAAAAATGATAATATGCTCATCTATTTTCTTATAACAAGCATTTATAATCTTAAAGTCATAGGCCATTAAGAAATCAAAAATAAATTATTATTATTTTGTTTAACTCTCCAAAACGAAAACTACTGAGAACTCATATGAATTGCCTTGTTTCAAAAACAATATGTATGTCCATTTAAGTCTCCACCAATGAATATCTTTTCGGCTTGTGGAATATCTTGGATCAACTCCTCTAAATCTTTCTAAAACTTTGCTTTTAAAAGAGCTTTTGAGCCAACTTGTATATCATAAATACTAATAATATTAATAGTGTCTTGTACAACCAATAACTTTAAAGACATGATTTTGTCTCTAATCTTTTTAATCTCTACCACATTCCTTTTCAAGTGTTATCCACAATATGCCTACTTCAGTTTTTTCTTTGATTTTTTCTATATACCAAAATTTAAAACTTGTAATATCAAATTCCTTAGCCTTATCTCTAACTTTTTTTTATTTCTTAAAGGCATATGATGTTAATATTTCTATACAAATTACAGTGTTCACTACTTTCAACGACTTCTTACCAATGTTCCAATATTTTATGAATGAAAGCAAAACACGCATTTTTAAACTACATATTTGTCAAGCCAAATATTTACCTTTACTCGTTTAACACTATATCCAAAAGACATTAAAACAGTGGTTCTTGTTCATTTAACACTGAAAAAATGGTTCTTGTTCATTTAACATTGTACTCAAACATTATTTCCAAATAATGACCTAACTCTGGTATAATATCGTCATGAGTGATCTGTGTTTTTTGTTTCCGCAAATTTTATATTAGTCGTCAAAAACTTAACACAACTTTTCTCTTTTGTCTACCTGGGACTGGTTATGGTGGCACAGACAGAGTTAGAAGATGTGGTTCAATTTTACATCAAAAGCAAAAAGGGATTAGATCAAACGAATGGAATTTTTAGGGGACAAATATTCCAGCCTGCTATAACAACCTCCCTTCTCCAATAACATAATTCTTCTTGTGCTAGAACTTCAGGCTGAGTTCACAAGCTGTTGTCATAAAACTCGGGTGTATAAATATTAGTTAAATATATACACGCTGCAACAAGTCTCCCTTACTTTAATTGCCTTCGTATGAGGCAATATTATATTCTGAATCACAATGAATGTAGTAAGTTATTGGGTAGCCATTGCAATAAATGCTTGGCATTAATATTAAATACAGTCACAACTTAATGAAATCAATAGATTATACACCAAATATGTATCCTCTCGTATTGTTAACTAATATGATATGTCATAAAAACATTTTTTTATCAAACAAAGACCCACCATAATTGGTTGTAGGACTCACAAATAAAATATAATGAAAACTGTGTCTTTCTCTTTCAAACATAACCATATCATGTTGTACAATAACACAAGAGGATCTAAAATGTATAATTATGAATTCTTGCTCACCTAACCTTCCAATAAGGAAAAATAAATATGCTGAATTTCTAGTGGTCTCAGCCACTCTGGCCCTTGAGGTAGTTAATAATGGGTAATGTGGTTGAGCCAATGAAATTGTTGGCATAATTAATACATGTGCTGATTGGAAGTGTGAGTGATGAAATAGCTAGAAGAAGACACGAATCCTGATGATGCTGCATTTGATAGCAGTGGCCCTGAGGCAATGGTGCCATTGCTGCAAAGTTGCCACGACACGTTGGAAAAACTTTGCGAAGGAACATGTTTTATTCTGTCTGCCATATCTTTCTCCTGACAGTAAAATACATTATTTAACATTAGAAATGTTTACAAAGATATCCCTTCAAATATTGTAAAATTCATTGTCTTTGTTTTGATTAATTAAATATTTTTAAAAAGTAAATAACTTTATAAACTTTGTTTACATTTTTAACTTTTAATTTAATAATCAAATTGATAAAATTCAACATTGATAAAAATTTATTTAAGTACCGTAACTATTAAAAACTTAAGCTTAACCCACTTTAAAAAATTAGCTCATTAACTTATGAAAAAAGGATTATCCATATTTTATAAAAAATTATTTGTCATATTCTTAGTTAATGAGTATATTTGTCCAAAATATTTCTAAAAAAATATAGAAAATCTTGTTGTCCTAAGACAATTTTTAAAAGTGAATTATTCCCAACTTTCTAATTATAGCATATAAAGATTTGCTCCTATCAACCTATAAAAAAATATTGCAACAACTAACGAAAGTTGGTTTAAATGGCAAACGATTCGGTATCGCTTAAATAAGGTCTTAGATTTAAGTCTTTATGTATGCAAAAAAATTTTAGTAATAGACTCATTCACCATATTCAAGTGTGTGACCCAGGTTAGATCTGAATTAAACTGGATGAGAAAATAAAATATAATAATAATAATAATATATTCAAACAAGAAGCAAAGCAAACAGTACCATTGTTCCTCTTTCATCGGGCACCTTAGATGCCATACATCCAAAGGCAAAGCCTCCTCCACAATCACTTTGCTTCAATTTTTTAGAGGATGGAGAAATCCCCAGGCTCAAATCAAGATTATGGCAAGTGCCTGCATCAATTGTAAAAAGAAGTTTATTTATACTTACTAACAAAACAGCAAATTTATTGATATAATAACTAGAAATGAGTCAATTTTTTCAATCACACATGACAAGAAAAGAGACAAAGCAGGAAAAGAAATTGAGAGCCAAAGATACACTTCATCTCTTCATACCAGCTATGCCAATGCTGGAATTTGCAATTATCTCTCCCTTATAGGAACAGGGCTTAAAACCGTTCTCCACTTCTCCATCATCACACTTGATGGATGACTTGGGATAAAATCTGCACACAAATTATAAAATGAAAATCTCTTTTGGACTAAACTCTTATAATCGTACACAACTTTATTGTAGGACAATAAATTTATTATCCCAATGAAGGACTATTGGAGCTTTCCCTGTTGGATAAGCCTGCCAGTGGCTCACATATCCATAAGTATCATGGCAGAGAAACAAAGTAATGCCGACTTAAATAAGATAGCACATTAGCAAAAAGATATCTAAATTACAAGGCACTACTAGTAATGTATGCAAATTTCTCTCCATATTCACACCAAACAAGCAATTATAGCATAGGCTCAACTAATAAAAAAATTGCAATATATATTAAAATAATAATTAGAAAAACAACAAAATCTTTGCTGAACTTGTTTCATTGTGATCTTAAAAGTATTTTGATTGTGCCTGTAAACACTGTCCTCTTACGACAATTACCCACAGGTCACATTAAACATTGCATATATGATATGACTAAAATTTGAACAAGGCTTATTGCTGGAAATAGCAGTACTCACATATTGCCAACATATGGTGCCATTCTTGGTTCTCCTTGACCATGTAATAAACCTTTGTCTGTTGAACTTCTCCTTGAGATTCCATTGACTTGTCGACGAAGTAACAGGACAAACTCTTCCTTACTCAAACCTCTCATCTACATCCCAATTAAATTATGAATTTAGTCTACACACAAGATTCAAATAGAACTGATAAAGTTATCCATGTTTGTTCTTTAATACCTTATTCAAATCCTCCTCATAATCACTCAAACTAAAGTTTATATCAGCATCCACTCCTCGGAATTTAATAGCAGCCCTATCATATGCTCTGTACAGATAACAAAATCAAGTCTGTGAACAAATTTTACAGATAAACACACCACAAAAAGACTTACAAACAATGTAGCTTCAATCAAAGCTATAGTCCTCACCTTGCAGCAGATTGAGCAGTGTCAAATCCACCTAACAAAAATCAAATTAGACCAATTCAGCCAACCACAAAAAAAGGGTCTCATGGACACGTGTTAAATAATCAATAAAAGGAAAGTTTTTTATTCAGAATGGGATGCACTAAAAATCACAGTGGAAATGCATTTATAACACTTTTTGATAAAAATTTTCCATTTTTAATTCTTTAATCCGTATGGCACTGATTATCATTTACCAATAAAACAAAACACAAATTCAGCCACAAAAATAGCTCCCAAGTTCCAATCAATAATTTAATCAAAACAACACCAACCAAATCAAATATCCACTTACCCAAATAGACCTGCTTCCCACAATCCCTGTATTCACAGCCACAAAAAAAGCAAAAACTCAACGAAGTGAGAAAAGATCACCAAACAACTCACAAAATCAAGGGCAATAACTGAGAGTATTGCATTCAAGCTTTTAAATTGCAGTTGCAATTGCTTCATGGTTATCAAAATTGTGGAAAATTTCAGGCCTCCAAAAACCATAATAGCGGCAGCAGCAACTAAAGTTGCAAACCACAATTTAAAACCTTGACTGCATTCATTAATCAAAACATATATAGAAAATAACATGTAAAAACAGAAATTCAACATCATTTATCATACCATATATGTGACTCCCATCTACCAGTCCTACGGTAGAAGGTAACACCGCGATACTGAGAGCTGCGAGACCGTGGTCCACGCCTATTTTTCCTTACATGAGGTAGCTTCTGCTGCAAGTTTCTCACTCCATTTTGTGCATCATCATTCACTGGAAATGACAAGTTCAACCATTGAGTCTTCCCCCACAATCCCAATTTGAAATCAGGCACTCTACCTCCTCTATCAACAGTCACAGGAAAAAGGGTTCTTGTGACTATCCCTCCCTCTTGTCCCATGTTTTGTTCCATCTTGTCCCTTTCAGTGCCACCAAATTCTGAACCATCTCTTTCTTTCTTCAGTATGTCAAAAATGAAGGGAGAAGAGTTGTTTGAGGAATCTTCTTCTGCAGGGTTCCACACAGAGGAGTTGGAGGTTCTAGAATCTGATATTTCAGGTGGAAAACTTGGAAGTTGCACCCCCTTTTGTGCCCAGGTTGAGTCAGCATCAACATGGTTAATGTCAATATTGAGATCAAACATAGCCATGTCTTGGAAAAGCTTCTGTCTAGTTTTCAAATCACACCCTTTTGAAAGAATCTTATGTACTTGCTTGTGCAGTGAAATCAAAGTACACTGAAAGTAAAATTGTCTCAAACTAGAAATGTGAGAGAGAGAGAGAGAGAGAGAGAGAGAGAGAGAGAGAGAAAAGGACCCTTTAAAGGTTGAGCATAGAAGAAAAAAAAAGAGTGAAATTAAGGTAAAGGGAAAGAGAAGAATTGGAACTTGTTCCAGGATCAGAGATAATAAGGCACAAAAACCTGTTGGAGACTGACACAGAAGTGAAAGGCCTCAAATGCAGAGATATTGTGAAGTGTAAACTGTGAGGCGAGAACACACGGGACTACACGCTTGTCCTTTATCTTTGGATAGGGGTAAGGTAACATAATATAAACATGATTTCTCACACACTGTTTCCATTTTATTCAAGTCTTTTACAATTGGATAATTTCAAGAGGATCCCTTACTTATAATACGTACTCTAACTTTTTTTTTATGACAGAATCTTATTTATTACTTAAATTTATTAAAAATATATAAAAATATGAGTAAAAATTATTAAATTAAAAAAATTATAGTTTTTAATAAATTTTAACTAATAATAAAAATATATATTTAAAAACAGTGTGTTAGTAGCATTTCTCATAATTTTAAATTATTATGCAAAACTTTTTCATCAATTTATCTATTTATTGAATAGAAAACTATATACTTTTATTTAAAATTAATACTGTTATGTAAAATATTAAGATTATTAACATCAATATATTTTAAGAAGACATAATGTTACTTTATAATTTTTCTTCTTATGTCATATAATTTTTAATGGATTGTTTATAGATTCGCCTCAATTTTGATTATACAAGAAACGAAATGAATTACTAAGATACAATGCATGATTGGGAAAGTTAAGTAGAGTCATAAGAATAGAAAAACTTCACCTCATATAAGTGAGTTTTGTGAAAAACTTAAGGGGGCTTATCACCATTAGTCAAGAAACAATAGATGATAAAAAGAAAGCTTAAATAAATAAATATTATTTAAAATTATACTCTCTTTTAAAATTAGTTTTTATTAAAAAAATTATTGACTTTAATCCTAAAAAATTGAAAGATGTATTTAGGCTCAAATAATTACATAGTTCTTTAAAAATACATATTTTTAAAATTGATTCATATTAAAATTTTATTTTTATCTTTAAATTAATATTTTTTATTTAGATAGCATCTTACATATTAATTTTTTGAGTCAGTGTTATTTGATTTTAAAATATTAATTTATGGGGAAAAAATTTTAAGATGGTTAAAAATTGTATTATGTGAGACTTACTTCATTATGTTTTAGTGAACTAGTATTTCTATTTTTCATCGATTGAAATAATATAAAAATTGTCTATCATGTATAAGTGCGTGAGGAAAAATTTGCCCTTATCGTGTTTAATTTTACCTTAAACAGCATGAATATAAGTCATTTTTTATAATAATAAAAGCATTACAATTAAAAGTTAATTGATTCTAAATAGTAAAATACTATAGTGTTGAATATAATGATAAAAGATTATCTTATTTAAAATTTTATAAGACTAAAATAAAAAAATTAATAGAGATCAATCTTAAAATAAAAATTATTTTTTATATTAATTATTTATTTAAATATTATGTATAAAATTAGCATTATTATATGATAAATATTACATAAAATATTGTTTACTTAGTCATAACTTAATGATTTTTATGTCTAGACTATTTAAAAAAAATAGAATTAAATACAATAAAAAAATTAGTAACGATAAATTTTAAAAGAGGATATATTTTTAAGGAATATTTGCTTATTTAAGCTTAAGAAAAAAAGAGAGTATATAAAACTCAATAATAATAATAATAATAATAATAATTTGCTTAAATTTTTCTCTTTTTCTATTATATTATTCATTTTATCTTAAATTTATTTCATTTCCTTCTTTTTTTTCTTTCCTTTATAGACATTGTTATAAATTTTTTTAGTTAAAATTGTATTATTTTATAAAATTTAAAATTAAATATTGTTGTTATATGTCCCACGACTGTATTAATTAAATTATCTTAAATAATGAACATATTGAGATTTTATTTGATAACCTATATAAAAATGGGCAATTATTATGTTATGTGGTTCTAAATAGCCAAATAAATGCATTAACAAACAAAACCAATCAAATGATGTAAGCTATAGCATAGTATAGTTGTCCTTAGTGATGAAAGTGACTGCAGAAAAGAAAGAATAAATTCTTTATCATGTGCTTTAAATACCGCTGCATCATTTTAAAGATTATATCATCAAATAATTCTATAAAAATATAAATTATTAACATATTTTTTTAAGAAAGATTAAATATTGAAAAAAAAAGATGAATAAGTAACTGTTTTATATTTTAATGATCTAATGCAATGATAAAAATTTTAAAATAAATTATAAAGTGACATTTCATGTTTAAAAGACTGATTAAATAATAAAAATATTTTATATAAAATGTGATATTGTCTCATGTTTAGCCTTAGATTAGAGTGGTCAAATCGGGTTATTTGATCCATATTAAGGTGGTTGTGTCCAGGGCAGGTCGAGTTAGATTAAATATGCCAATTTTTTATTTAAACTTTAAAATAGAGACCAAGTATGATCTAAATTTAATTTTATATTTAAATAGATTAAATAATTTAAACTTATTAAAAAATTAAAATAAATTAAAGAAAATATATATAATTAACTTATTTAAATTCTATAATTTAATATAGTTAAACAGATGGCTTTTTTTTTAAATATAAAAAATGCTAAATACCAAAATATAAGATTTTGGAGAAATTACAAGAATATGGAAAATTTATCCTTACAAAGATTATATAATTTAAAATAAATTCTTGTATTATTTTTGTTAAGATATAGTTCTTATTTATTATTATTATTATTATTATTTATTTTTTATTTTTTTATTTTTTGGTCTACTGCCTGATAACTCAACTAAAAGTTAACACTTAAAAGTATCTCCATCAATCACGTAAGCTCGAAAAATTACAAGTAAAACATGAAAGAAAAAATAAAAACTATACCCTAAAAAAATATAGAAATTTAGTTTAAATTGTGCAAATTTGGTAAGAATTAAACATGTAATCAAATATTTTTAAAAAATGGTCAATGAAAATTTTATTTTCTTTATAATTTTTAACTATTTCATATCTAAATCTCTGTATGTGGTTAAAAATCATCATTATTTGATGAAATCCCATAATTACAATAATTAGCCTTAAACAGATAGATGTATTAAAAAAGGCTTATTTTGGGCGCACTAACTAAGATGCAGAAACTAAGGTTACTGGGAAAAGAAAGAAAGATTTTGGTGATGAAGAAGAGGTAGAAAGTGGTAGATGAGAAAAGACATGAGATGAGTGTTTGATTTGCGGTGTATGGTTGAAGTGCCTTTTCAGCCATTCCAAAAGCCAATCATGCAAATTGGACCACATTGTCTCTTTTCGTTCTCCTCCATAAGCCATAAAAGCCACCACCCAAATGGATATAACTCCTTTGCATCTAATTATAGGGCACGCAATATCAGTAACAAAATTGGTAGAGTGGGCTATCACCATAGTTAATTGCTTCTACCTTTTCTCCATACACACCCTTTAATAATTGCCTCTATGCTTCTTCTCATGAGATTCTTTTTCCTCCCAAAAGATTTTCTTTTAATAAATTATAGTTTCTTGCCCTTTCATTTTCTATATGTGTAGTTTAATCTTCGTCACGTAATTTGGTAAATGAAATATTTTTATTTTTAAAGAAATTGATAGAATAATTAGAATTTCTTGTTTTACATAAAATTTAATTTAATTTTCATGCATTATTTGTATAAATATTTTGACTTTGTCAATAAATAAATAATACTTTTTAAGTATGAACTTAAAATAATTATCGTAAAAAATTAATGATTTTTAATCATGCAAAAACCTAATTATATTCTAAATTATCTTATATTTAAAAGATTTTAGTAAATATTAATTTATAAATAAATGGAAATATTTTTTTCATGAGTAAAAAATGGGAATAATTATTTTTGTGATAATTGATTATGAACTTACTAATTTTTTATAATAATTAATAATAAAAGTATCATCTTTTAGAAAGTTGAACTAATATACCTTAAAGCCATACAAATATTGGAATTAAAAATAAGAAATAAATGTCTTTATTCTTTTTAAATATGATGTTTGATCCTCGTTCTTAAAGCTTTATGCCCACAATTTTTCTATTTTTTTTTTCTCAGTTGGTTCTTTTATTGCATTTGTATTAGGAATCGTTATTTATCTACAAAGAATCCTAGGTGAAAGGTAAGCATCTTAGATGGATTTAAAGATGCTAACTTAAAATTTTAACTAACAAGCGAATTAACAACATTAAACTTTTATTTCTCGCTTAAACAAAAATAAATTTAACGTTAAATTTCTGCATAAACTGAAAAAATCTGTAACAAGTGCTAAAATTGTTACTCATGTAGTAATATAGTACTCTACCAAAATTTTATTTATTGTCATCACTGTTGAAGAAAAAAAAGGAGATGATAGACGGTCCTCTAAATGTTTTGCCGATAATTCAAACTACGTTTTAATAGAGTCTATGCTAAGCCCTTTATCAGTTCTTTTTAATTATATATTTTTAATTTTCCTTGTTGTTAGTGGTATATTAAATTTTTACTCCATTTCCATAGTTTCATTTGGAATTTAGTTTCTTTTCGTATGTATTCCAATTTTGAAATTTTTTTCATGGATTTTATTATTTATGGTTGAATTTTTAAACTCTATTTCAGTTAGGAATGTTAAATATGTTTTCATTGATAAATGGTAAGACATTATGATTATGTCATAGGAACAATAACAATCGACAGTGAGCTTATTAGAGAGTCCTTTTCTCAATGCTCTTTGTTGATTTCCATGAAGCCAAATTTTTATATATTTGGCAAATTAATATTCTGTTTGTTTAAGATAAAAATAAATATTGTATAAAAAATATTTAATTTTCAGAGATTTTTGTAAATAGAAGTACATTGGTGTGTGGTTACAATCATAAAATACTAATACCTTTTATTTAAAATAATTACTTGAAATAGCCTCTTAATATCGATTCTTGAAAAAATCTATTTAAAATAGCTTCTTAAGAACAGCAAAGAAGTAATTATTTTGGTAATATAATTTTAAAAAAGAACTTAACCAAACATCATATAATAGCTTCAAAGTGACTTTCTTAACAAAATAAGCTATTTTTTTAGAAAAAAAAATATAAACAAACAAGTTCGAAAATGCATATGTATTCTTTATGTTTAATTTAAAAGAC